CAACCTTCCTTCCAAGGAGTGGCTGGTGGGTTTGAACCGCCAGCCTTCTGGTTAGCAGTCAAGTGCCTTAGGCACTATGCCACCAGAGCTCCAATCATGTCTGCTAGTTTGTTAAATTTCTGTCATTTTCAGTGAGGGGCCCCTTCAGCCTTCCACTCCAGCCTTCCACACTGTCTGCCATCATGAGGGTTATGGCTGAGTGAGGAAAAGCGGCCAAGACAGAAAAACCAATGGCCAAACCATAGACATTGTGAAAAGTGCTGTGCAGATAAAGAACCAACCCCAAATCAAACTCACTGCCATCCAGTTGATTTCAACTCACAGCAACCCCTACTGAGTTGCCAAGGCTGTAAGTCTTTATGGAAGCAGACTGCCTCATCTTTTTTTTCCTCGGAGCAGTTGGTGGGTTCCAACCATCGACCTTTTGGTTAGCAGCCAAATGCCTTAACCGCTACACCACCAGACCTTTAGCTAAATAAAGGACAGTGCTACGAAGAAAAGGCATCATGTAAAGGAGATGTGAGATCAGAGGGAGGGTCGTGGATGGCTTCATTTAAACCGAGCCCTAAAAAATGTAATGGGAAGCCATTACTCTGTGAGGCCACAGAAGAGGAGAAACATTACTCTAGGTTCTGTGTGTCAGGAGAAATAAAATTTGCAATTTTATCATAGTCAAGATGAAAACACACAGGTAAAGAATGTATTGTTTAAAAATTTTTTTTTTAAATCACGACTTTATTGATGTAGAATTCACATACCACACAATTCACCTATTGAAAGCATTATAGAAAGAATTCTACCGGCTAGCTTTGTGCATGGATGGAGGTTGTCTTATTTTCTGACCATTTCTTTCATTGGTGAGGTAATCAGAAAAAGACAATCCCAGAGTGCTTTGCATGATATTAGCATGAGTTTCTGAGTTTGATTTTAGTACTTTGTGGTCTTTTGTTTATTTGTGGGTTTTTTTTGTTGTTGTTGTTGTTTTGCCAATATTGCTTCTACTTCCTTGACTGTTTAATTGCTGAACCTTTTATGTTTTAAAGGTTCATGGATTAGTAGCTTACACGAAGTCCCGTTACTGTCCCACAGATGTAATCACTGGTTTGGCTTGCCTAGAGAACCCAGCCTAAGACACTGTTCTGTTTCCCTCGTGCCGTTCTGACAAGAATATACCACAAACGGGAGGCTTGAACAAACAGGAGTTTATTTCCTCACAGTTCAGGAGGCTAGAAGTCCAAGTTCAAAGTGCCAGGCTCTAGTGGCTGTGTGAAAGCCCCTCGACCTTGGGCTTCAGCTCTGCCTCTTGCTCCCGGCCACTGAGCTGGAGGCATCTCTTCACTCAGACAGCTGCTGGCTGCTGAGGCTGACAAGCCCAAGGTTGACAAATAAAAAGGCACAGTCCCGATGTTACCAAACCACACGGTAGGCCATTAACTCAAGTCCATTGTAAGTCCCAAGGTCGGCAGAGCATGGCAGGCTGCTGAGCAAGGACACGGCTCCATGCAGGGTCCAAGCGTGCCATAGGCTAGAGACCATTCCCAAGGCTTCTCCTCATATACAGGAAGCAGACCACATCCCAAAGGCAGCTACTCAGCTACTTGTGG